TTTACTGCGGGCCAGCAGGACAAGGAGGGGTGAGGCTGTGGGGAAGAAAGAGAAGGGGTTCGGGGGGCCCCTGAGGGAGGTAGGGACCCAGTGCCCAGAAACACCCCAGGTTGAACTGACCTCCAAGGAGCTTCCATCGAAAGAGGAGCCGGGGTAAGAACCAACTGGCCAGGAAGCGGCCTTGTCTTACCCAAACCACTTCCAAATCACGGGAGGGCAGCCACCGCAGGTGGTGAGTCTATAGCCCGAAGGCCTGGAGTTCAAGTCCTACCTCTGCCGCTCACCTGCTGTGTAACCTTAGGCACGTCACGTACCTCTGTGGGACTCAGTTTTCTCGTCTCTGAAATGGGGATAACAACAGTACCTACCTACCAGTAGGCTGTTGTGGAGATCAAATGGATTAATATGGGTAAAGTAAGGGCGCCTGGGTGGTGCATTCGGTTAAGTGTCCCACTCTTGATTTCGGCTCAGGTCAAGATCTTGGGGTCGTGAGACTGAGTCTCATATTGGGCGTGGGGCCTGCTTAAGATTCTCTCTCTCCCTCTCCCTCTGGCCCTCACCCCCATGTACGCACAGGCTCTCTCTCAAATAAAAATAAAATCTTTAAAAATTCCCTCCTCCATCGCTGCCCCCCCCATCCTACCCACCCTCCTCTCCTGCTTGGACCCTTATAGCAGGCTCCCTGTGGGTCTCCCTGCTGCTGCACCCCAGGATCCACTCCCCACAGGGCAACACGAGTAATCCTTATTAAAGGGAAACGATGTTGCTTAAAGCCTTCCAGTGAGTCCGCATCACACACTGAATGCAATCCACGCTCCTTACCTCCACCTGTCAGCCTCTGGTACATCTGCCACACCTTCCCCACCTTCCTGATCTCACTGCCTCCTCTGCCACATGGGCCTCCCTGATGGTACCTGACCATCCCAAGCTCATTTGGACCTCAGGACCCTTGCACTTCCTGTACCCGCTACCCGCTCTATTCTTTCCACCTCCTTTCTTAGGCCTGGCTCGCTCTTTCTCATCAGTCAGATGTCTCCTCCCCCAGAAAGTCCTCACTGACTTCCCAGGCTGGTCAGGGGCCTCCTTCAGATTCCTACAGTCCCTGTGCCCCCCGTAACCTAGCCCTGATGCTGCTCTTCGTGCTACCTCCCCCCAGCGCTGACACTCTGGGCTGTCACTGTCTCAGGATGGGTCTGTCTTCCTTTGTATACTAAAATCCATGCAGGCAGGGCTAGGGCTGTGTGGGTCGCCAGTGGGACCAGTGGTCACACACAGGGTGTAACAAGGCTCTGTCCCTCCCTTTCCACACTTCACCTCCTTCCTGCCCCCTTCCTGAGGAGGTTCAAGCCAGTATGGTCTCCTTTCCCACTGTTAGCCCTGAGAGATGCCTCCCAAGGACAGCTGGATCAAAGCTGTGGTCACTGTCCTGGATGTCCCAGAGGGCAAAAGCCTAGGTGTGGGGGCTCGGTGGGTGTCAGGTCCCCGCTAGGCCCATATCATGTGAACCATCTCCCCAGCTGTTCCCAGTCAGCCCAGAGGGCCATAAACCCACCATCTCATGGCTGAGTAAAGCACTTCAGCAAGGGCCACAAACTTGCCAGAAAGCAGGACATGGAGTGAAGGGAACCCTGAAGCCCTGTGGGAAAGCAGACTGGTACAACTGCTTAAGAAAACAATTTGGAAGGCCCAGCATGTCCACGGTGAGCCACAAGCCCAAGAGAGACTCTGGCCAGAGTATACAAGGAAACGCATTCTAGAATGTTCGATTTGGCGTTGTCACTGTCCCAGTGGGAAAGCACCTCAATGTCCACCAACAGGTGAACAGGTGACTCCTATGTGGCACAATCACAAGAATAAACACTCACAGCAGAGACGACGAATCCTAGAGTCACACACACGTCCTTGCAGAGAGAAACGCAAACTCGAGTGCTGAGCAGAAAAGAGCAGGTTGTTCACCGGGATGTCACTTATATCAGCCGTCAAACTGTAAAACAGTGGTGGCCCACCCCGGCTGGCCACTGGAACCACATACTGAGGCCCGCCCCACCCCCAACCAAATGAATCCAAGCCAGACTCTCCCAGGCTGGCTTGGGCCACGGCAGTTTTGAAAGCTCTCCGGGTGACTGCAGCGAGGAGCCAGGATCAAGAGCTGCAGCTCTATCATCTGTGATACATTCAAGGGTAGTAACAGTAGGAAGACCTGCAGAGAGACACTAAACACCAAATCCGGTGCTGGGGCAAGGAGCTGGAAGAGAGGCTGGGGGGGGAGGGGGGCACTGGACACCATCCACCCTGAGAGTCCCGTCCCAGGCCAGATGCTGGAGGCGTGGGGGTTCTGTTAATTGAAGACTTTACTTTTCCCCCTAATCTAAAATGTATCCTCAGGAACAAAACTGGCAAGTTAAGAAATCACTTGCCCGGGCGCCTGGGTGGCTCAGTTGGTTAAGCGACTGCCTTCGGCTCAGGTCATGATCCTGGAGTCCCGGGATCGAGTCCCACATTGGGCTCCCTGCTCAGCAGGGAGTCTGCTTCTCCCTCTGACCCTCTTCCCTCTCGTGCTCTCTATCTCTCATTCTCTCTCTCTCAGATGAATAAATAAAATCTTTAAAAAAAAAAAAAAAAAGAAATCACTTGCCCAAGGTCCCACAGCTGGGGACAGGGTAGGGACCTGAATTCAGGTCTCTGATGCCAAAGCCCTAGCCCTCCTTACCTGCGCCAAGCTGGGGATGCTGAGCGAGCTGGCACCACGAGCACAGGACTGCCTGGCAGTGTGCCCACCTGGTGACCCTGCCAGAGCTGGAAGGGGGTGGCGCGGCTGCCTGAAAGAACCAGGAGGCAGGTGGAGAGGGGCCCTCCTCCATCTCTGAGGTCCTCCCCAGGTGGTGGCGGCAGCAGGACTAATGCCAACACAGCACGGAGCCAGGGCCGGGGCCACGTGCTTTCCGCTCTGCACCCTCCCGGCCATGCCATGAGGTGGTCACTATCATTTCCATTTTGCAGAGGAAGAAACGGAGGCCCAGGAAGTTAAGTGACTCACCTACGGTCACACAGCCCGTGAGTGATGGAGCTGGGTCTGTGCCAGTCCCCAGTGCTGCTCCGCAGCCCCTGATCCACTGCTCCCCCACTCCCAGGCTGGGCATCCTAGGGGTCCAGATGCAGCTGTGTATTGCTGGCTGGGGGTCTGGTTCCAGTCTGCTCCCACCAAGGGACACCGAGAGGCCCTGGAGGCCCGGGGGTTCTGCGTCTTGTCGGCTGGGGCAGTCCCAGCACCGAGCACAGTGTCCAACATTCAGCCACCAACCACCAAGCACCCTCCACTGGCCACACAGTGCTTCAGGGGGGATTCAGGGAAGGAACAACATGGAGAAATTCCATGCCATGTGGGGCCCACATTCTTTGGCGGGGGGACAGACAACACAGGGTGCCCTGACAAACAAGATAAGCACAGAGCAAAGGCCTGGGGAGAAAACCGGATAGGGAGATAAAGAGTGTGTGAGGGACAGTGAGAGGCAGGTGGTGCTGTTAGGGCTGCACGTGGGTGACTGTAAGGGGGGGAGGGGCAGGGAAAGGATTCCAGGCAGAGGGAACAGGAAGGTCAAAGACCTGGAGGGTGGCATATGCCTACAGAGTTGAAGAACAGCAAACAGGCCGGTGGGGCTGGGGCTTGAGAAGGGACGGGGAGAGCCACAGGAAACGAGGTGGGAGCGATCTGGGACCACCATGAGAGCTCGGGGTTTTAAGTACAGAGAACACCAGGCTTTGTAGTGGATCCCACTCAGGGACACCCTCCCCAGTCAGAAAACCATCAGACTCACTTGGACTCTGGGCCACCCACAAACACCCCACTCCCGTAGATCCATGAGAACTTCTCTTCCCAGATCACACCCTTCCAGGGAGCCCAGAGACAATCCATTCCAGTCCAGGGAGTGGCTCCGCCTTGCCCAGCCCCCTGCTTCCAGGAACAATCTTCAACAATCTACAATGTAACAACTGGGGGGCAAGAGCTCTGGAATCAGTCAGACCGAGCTTGGAAACTGCCTCTGTTACTCAGCAGATGCTACCTGAGCCTCAGTTTTCCTGTCTGTAAAGTGGGTCTACTCAGTACCCACTTCACAAGCTTATGGTATAATGAAACAAGACCGCTGAGCACAGTGTTAGCCCTCATTAAATATTAGCCAAAACTGTGATTATTTGAGAGGCAATAAAGCATAGTACGTCTCTAGGCACAGAACTCGAGTCTGAATCCCAACCCCACAACTTAGTCATTAGATGATCCTGGGCAGATCACCTGGGCTCTTAATAACAGTGCCAACCCCATAAGGTTGTAGAGAGCATTAAATATACGGAAAGCATCTAAACGACCTGGCACATAGTGATTTATGAGTGTTTGGATTATTTTCACTATTTGTGGGAGGAGGCTCCCCTTTACCTGGCCAGGAAGCACCTCTGATCTCTCTCTCGGGCATCCCTCTCGTCCTCCCCAGCAATGTCTCCCACTAGGGTTTTAACTACTGACCCTCAGGTACATCATCTGTCGGATTCTGACCTTTGCCCCCTTTGGCCACGCCCCACATTTGATCCCTTAAAAAGGTGCCCCCCAACCTAAATCTCATGCATCTGATCGGCTGGTTGCTCCTGTAAACCTCCAAACCACCGCCCCGCGCCCATGGCTGTGATCTCCGACTCTGGTAAGCGCACCCTCCCTTCAATTGATTAAGTTTGACCCCCATTTTTTGACACTCGCCCCGACCCCCTCGAACGGGCCCCACTTCAAATTTCGAACTTTGTGATCCTCTTCGCCACGCCCCCTTCGCGAGTTTGACCTCTGACCTCCTCTACACCACCCTCCCCAGCAGCACTGACTCCCGACCTCTCCGAGGCGACCCTTCCCTCCTCGAGTGAACTTTGACCCCAACGGCCCCGCCCCCTACTTGCGTAAAAGCTCTCCCACCGCCATCGCTCGGCCCACCCTAATCCCCTGGCCTGACCGCTGATCCTACCGGCTCGGCGCTGCAGTCGCTCGCGGCCTAGCTGCTCGACCCGGAATTCTGGACCCTCACACAGCCCTCAGCTCTCTTGCGCCGCCGCCACCGCGGCCACTGCCGCCGCCATGTTAAATCCCCAACGAACATCCGGGGCTTTCCCCCTCGCCGCCCACCAGTCCCCATAGCAACGGGGCTGACCGGGCAGGGGGCAGGGCCCGCTCAGGGGCGGAGCTGGGCCATTGGCCGAGCCCGCTCCAGCCTCTGATTGGTGCAGATTGTCCAATTGGAGACCTTCGGGCAGAAAATGCCAAGCGGGGATTGGAAAATTTGGAAAGGGTGCGGGGAAGCTGGCTCCCCGCCCAATCGGGTTCTTAAAGGGGAAAGGACTATACGCGTGTAAAGGTCGCACCTTACACCAAAACACGCTTACGTGCCACACACCTGGCCAAATGCTTTCCTTGCATTGTCTCACTAAATACTCACTAAAACCCCATCGTATTATTAATACCCATTTTACAGATAAAGAAACTGAGGCTCAAAGGGGTGAACTAGCTGCCTCAGAATTACAGGAAGTAGATAATGAGTTTTGAGTCTGTCTGAGTCCAGGAACTTGACCTGCAACCAAGACACTATTTGATCTTAATCTTTTCTGTAAGTTTTTAAAAAGTAATTAATTCATCAAAAAAGAAAAAAAAAAAGGAAAATACCCGAAAACAACAACAACAAAATCCATAAGCGAAACCCGGACATCCTCTCCTGTGATTTCACTCGCTGGGCCCCAGCTACCTTGCTCTTCCAGAAAAAATATCCGGAACTCCTCATCCTTAAGGTCTTTTCATTGGCTTTTCCTTCTGTTTGGGATAGACTCTTCCCCCAGGTATCAGCAGGGCTCCCTTCCTCGCCTCTTGCAGGGTTTTACTCAAGTATCACCTTATCAGTGAGCTTATTCCTTCCCACCCTAACTAAAGCAGCCAACATCCATCTTGCATGTTACTAAGCCCCTCCCCTTATCTGCTTTTTCCTGTTTTCCTGTTCTAATCACCTTCTAACAAACTAGATGATTAGTTAATTGTAGTTAGCTTTTCGGTTGTTTACTGAAATGTCAACTCCATGAGAGCAAGGATTTTTATCTGTTTTGTTCACTGTGCATGCCCAGTGCCCTTGCACTATTGGCACGTAGATGCTCAATAAACATTTGTTGAATGGATGGTTGGATGAGTCCTAATTTCACCCCCTCAGAGATACTCTTAAATGCTAAGTGCATCCCTCTCCACCTCCCTGCCCCAGCACAGTGTCTAACACATAGTAGCCATGAGGGAACCAATGAATGAATGATTGCGTGATGAGTTATTTTCTTTTTCCTGTACATTTACCTACCTCTTTTGTTTTTTAACAGAATCAGAGGCACACATTTATAAAGAATTTTATATGTTTCTAAAAACAAGTTTGGAAATATCACCAGTATCATTCCACATCATTTTCTTCCAGAACATTAGTTTTAATGGTTGCATGGATGCCATTCTATCAATGAACTCTAATTTGTTTAACCACCCTTTCTTGTTGAACATCTAAGCTGTGATAAATATTTTGCTATTATAAATAATACCTCCCCCCATACAAATTCAAGCAGTTAAATATTTGTGCACATCTCTAATCATTTCCTTTAAATAGATTGCCACAAATGGAACTGCTGGGTCAAAGGAAATGTACAACTTTAAGATTTAATAATAGTAACAGTTTCCATGCATGGAGCTAAGCTGTGTAATTTTAACAACAGGGCCTATGATTATTCCGGCTTCGCAGAGGAAGCAGAAGCTTGGAGAAGTAACTTTATTTGCTCAAAGTCGCACAAGCTAATGGGGCAGAGCCAGGGCTCATCCCCGGTTTTGACACACAGGCAAGGCTCGCTAACTGCCCTCTGCTGCCTCCCCGCGGCCTGGGACACACATTACCAAATTGTGCTGCAAGGATCCAATTCACACTCCCACCAGTGTTCAAAGGGAACATGCAATTTAAAGTATCATCGCCAGCATTAAACGTTCTTGTTGTTTTGGTTTTTGTGCCCTTTTGAAATCTGTATGCCTCACAGAGTCTCCATTTTTTTTTAAAAAAGCAAGTCTAGTAGCTGAGATGACAGCACTTTATCCAGGTCGCTGTGATGGGAGGGCCAGGTGCAGCCTCTACCTCTTTAATGCTCCGCACAAATTGCAGGGTATTAGGCTCTAGAAGCCACCTTTGGGGAAGCCTCCTTGGAACTTAGTTGGGGATCTCAGTCAGAGATCAGACCTGGAACAAGGCCAGAGGTAGATCTGCTCCAAGGGCTTCCTCAGGATGGGCAATTAGGCCCTCCCACTTCAGGGCTCTGAGAGAGAAAATCAACCCCAAAAGAGCCTCCTACAGAGGGCTTCCTGGAGGAGGTGGTAAGGAGGCAGCCTCCAACAGATGGAAACAGGTGAGGAGGGTGAGGAGGATTTGGCCTCATAAAATGATAAATTTCAGTACATCAAGGGAAAAGACAAGCAGCAATATATAGATGGCAGGCAATGCTTTGTGTCCTTCATATGCAAAGAGCTTTTACAAATCAATAAGAAAGGTGAACATACAACAGAAAAACAGGCAAAGGACATGAACAAAAATTTAAAGTACAGACAATGGATAAGAAAGAAATGGAATCCCCAAATAAGAAATTAATGAAGTTGATATTAAATTATTAAACAGATCCTTTTTATTTTTTTGGTCTCTCAGAAAAAAATATATTTTTAAAGATTTTTATTTATTTGAGAGAGGGAGCATGAGCAGGAGAGGCAGAGGGAGAGGGAGAGAGAATCTAAAGCAGACTCCAAGCTGAACACAGAGTCCCATGTGGGGCTGGATCTCACAAACCTGAGATCACGACCTGAGCCAAAACCAAGAGTTGGATGCTTAACCAAGTGCGCCAGGTGCCCCAGAAAGATATTTTTTTTATATAATAATCAGTACTGATGAGAATATAAGATAATAGCCACTCTCATAACCCACCTGTAGGACTATGATCTGGGGCAGACTTTTGGTGATATCCATCAAGAGACTTAACAATGCTGTCAACCCTTGGATACAGCAATTCCACTTCTAGGAATTGTTCTTTTATTTTTTAAGATTTTTTTAAAGATTTTATTTATTTGAGCGAGAGAGAATGAGAGATAGAGAGCACAAGAGGGAAGAGGGTCAGAGGGAGAAGCAGACTCCCCGCTGAGCAGGGAGCCCGATGTGGGACTCGATCCCGGGACTCCAGGATCATGACCTGAGCCGAAGGCAGTCGCTTAACCAACTGAGCCACCCAGGCACCCAATTTTTTAAGATTTTTAGAAAGAGATTTTATTTATTTATTTTTTTCAGATTTTATTTACTTATTTGTCCGAGTGGGAGAACACGCACAAGCAAGGGAGCGGCCGTTGGAAGGAGAAGCAGGCTCCATGCTGAGCAGGGAGCCGATGCAGGACTGGATCCCAGGATTCTGGGATCACGACCTGAGCCAAAGGTGGACACTTAACCTACTGAGCCACCAGGCATCCTTATTTATCTATTTCACAGAGAGAGAGAGAGAGAGAGAGAGAGAGCACGCACAAGCAGGGAGAACGGCAGGCAGAGGGAGAGGGAAAAGCAGTCTCCCTGCTGGATCCCAGGACATGGGGCTCAATCCCAGGACCCCAGGATCATGACCCGAATCAAAGGCGGATGATTAACCGACTGAGCCACCCAGGCTCCCCTTTTTTAAGATTTGTGCTTATTTATTTGAGAGTGAGAGAGAGCACGAGCAGGGGAGGGGCAGAGGGAGAGGGACAAGCGGACGCCCCGCTGAGCGCAGAGCCCTTCACAGGGCTCTGACCTGAGCTGAAGTCAGGTGCTTAACTGACTGAGCCACCCAGGCACCCCTAGGAATTGTTCTTAAAGGGAAAAAAAGACGTAGACAAAAGTGTATATGTGAGTCTATAGGTGAACAACATGGGTTTGAACTGCATTAGTCCACTAGTAAGCAGATTTTTTTCAATAAATTCAGTACAGTATAGTACCATAAATGTGTTTTCTCTTCTTCATGATTTTCTCTCTTTTTTTTTAAGATTTTATTTATTTATTTATTTATTTATTTATTTATTTATTTAAGATAGAGCGAGAGTGAGAGAGAGAGCCTAAGCAGGGGGAGCCACGGGCAGAGGGAAAAGCAGAAGCAGACACTCCAGGAGCTGGGAGCCCGATGCGGGGCTCGATCCCAGGACTCCAAGATCATGACCTGAGCCGAAGGCAGACGCTCAACTGACTGAGCCACCCAGGCGCCCCTCCATGATTTTCTTTTTTTTTTTTTTAAGATTTTATTTATTTATTTATTTGAGAGAGAGAATGAGAGAGAGAGAGCATGAGAGAGGGGAGGGTCAGAGAGAGAATCAGACTCCCTGCCAAGCAGGGAGCCCGATGTGGGACTCGATCCCGGGACTCCGATCATGACCTGAGCCGAAGGCAATTGCTTAACCAACTGAGCCACCCAGGCGCCCCCCTCCATGATTTCCTTAATAACATCTTCTTTTCTCCAGCTTACTTTATTGTAAGAATACAGTATTTAATACATATAACATATAAAATATGCATTAATTGACTGTTTATGTTATCGGTTAGACTTCTGGTCACACAAGGCTATTAGTAGTTAAGTTTTGGGGGAGTCAAAAGTTATACTTGAGTTTTTGACTGTGCGGGGGTGGGCACCCCTGACCCCCACATTGTTCAAGGGTCGACTGTATTCATTCTTAGTGTTATTTCAGTAAGATTTTTAAAAATCACCATTGTTTTACTATTTTTTCCATTACTACCCCATTTACTATTGTTACCATTGTTATACTACCTCATTGTTTTTTAATTATTGATGTATCACACCATAGTTCACGATTTCCCTATTGTTGCATGTTTAGATTGCTTCCAATTTCTTTTTCCCTGCTTGCTACACCAGACTCCCTCTAAACACTTTACCAATGTGATCTTTTCTAATCCTCGCCACTTCTCTGTAAGATGGGATCCTTAGCCCCATTTCACAGATGAGGAAACTGAGGCATAGGAGGAGGGTGGGAAGTGAAACAAAGTCCCACCACTTGTAAGCAGCTTTGCTGGAATTTTAACTGGGAGTTCTGACTTCAAAGCT